TAGTTTACTTTTTCTTTTTTTATATTTTTTTCTTTAATTGTTACATTGTTATATGTAGTGCCATGTGAGGTATTTTGAAATTTGTAACTTGTAACTTTTAACCTGTAATACATGCACTAACAGGGCAGTATATAAATCAAATCAAATAATAAATAAATCTGCTGACATGCAAATATAATTCGGGATGCCACATATGGTTTCCCACCCACCTCCTTCCACTTCTGTGAACAAAGTTTTGGAGCAATTAAAGCCAATACTTGGTGGTGCTGGGTAATCCGTTGGGATCTAGATGCCCCTGGTCTCCAACATCCCTCAGGAACGACCACGCTGCCTGGAGCAGAAGGAAGTTCTACCAAGGTGGCAAACTTTTGGAACTTCAGATGTTTTGAACTACCATTCCCACAGACATTTATCATTGCCAATATAGGCTGGGGATTGCCACCCCCGTAGACTAACAACCTCTGGCGATCTAAAGGTTCCCCCAGAGAATCAAGCTAATCTGCTCAGTCCGTCTTCATCACAGAGGGTGGAACACGTCCACTGAATCCCTGCATGAGTGAAACGCCTGATTGGCTGATGGCAAACATGTGAGGGCCAGGCTTAATTCCCAGAGGCTGTGATTTCAACACCCCTCAAATAACTCCTTCAACAGCTATAAAGCGTAAATGCTATTACTTTAAGTGAAAAGAACAAGACACTTCGTGGAATCTGCTGAAACAGAAAGAATAGTATGGCATAAAAAGAACTATTTTTCAAAGCTGAATTGGTTCTTCAGCAGGAGGGCCAGCAGCTGTAAAATAATTTTATCTCTCTCTCTCTTTTTAATTCTTTCATTTTGAAAAGTTGAAGGAGAGACAATCGCACTACTATTCTAGGACCTTGGAGAGTCAGCAACCGAAAGCAATATTAAGCCATTATGTGCTTATTTGGGACAAGGCGATCCTCAGTCTGGCTGATACGATGTTATAAGACAATAACGGTACAAGCCTACAAACCCTTAACCAGGAGTGAGTCCCACTAAACCCCAGTGAGGCTCACTTTTGGGGTCCTCTGCACAAGCACATTTCTAAATTCGATTCTTCTCACCATATTAAAGGAAACAGCTTGCTATTTTTACATAGCAGTGGCAAGGTAGGGGAAGAAAATTATAAACTCAAAATTCTAAGTATTTAAATAATGATGATAATAATAAAATAAATGGCACCAATAAAAAGATGGTTTTGTTTAACAGGAAGACAGAACTACAAACACCCAGATGGGCACTTTGGAACAGCAAGGTCTTTACTGTCCATAATTAGAATGGTAATTATCACCATAAATATAAGTTACAATACATGTACAGTTTTCTGGGCTGTGTGATGGCTTTTTGCCTCTGTCAAATAATTTGGTTTTCTTTTTAATCCTTTCATAGGTCTATATATCCATCACTGGCAGACTATGGCATCTGAGTAAAACGTTAGCTGAAAGCATTCTTTCAAATATGCCACCATTACAAATTATGCAGGGGCAAAAAAAAAAGCTATGCAAATATAACATGTGCCAGGGAAAATATATGTCAAAGCAATTTGAAAACACATCTGTGCAAAGGTTTGCATGCAATTACTGAGCACACACCTTGGAATTCATTGACTGGCAGAATGGGAATACACTGTCGTGAGGTTTTTAAAATTTTTTAATTATTATTATTTTTACAGCATGTGGAATCAGAATTGGAGAGGGAGCTTTAATGCTTTACTTGACTACTATAAAACTATGGAGATTTCAAATGGGATGTGCAACACAGAGCAAATGCTTTTCCAAACCAGACATTTTCATATACCGTTGCATTCTGTTCGGGGAAAGGTCAGTTAGCTTTCTTGAAGTTGATGCCATGCTACTGAATTGTTGGAGCAAAAGTTAATGGATTTATTTTTATGGCTCATGCTTTCTAGTTAAAAGTTGTAATATACCTTGCCCTCCCTCCACTCTTTTCTCTTTCCACTTTCCCGGTGCAAAAATAATAATAATAATGACATGGAAGAGAAGGAGGATGTGCCCTCAAGACAATTCCAACTTACAGTCATCAATTCCAGGGTTTTCCTAGGTAGAGTTCTAACGAGTGCTTTGCCATTCCCTTCTTCTGGGGCATCCTGGGATCATGCAGGTTGCCCAAGGCTACACAGGCTGAGCTTTCTTCCTGGAGGCCCAGTGGGGAATTAGTACTCCAATCAGTACTCCAACCCACAGAGCTACCTAACCAGCGATGCTATCCAGCCTTTGTGCACCCCGTGTTGAGTGCACAAAAGATTATCTCTCTACATCAGAACTCTGGGGCCACAAACCCTGTGCAGCCCCTGAAACTGGGAGGTCTCCACTCAGCTGAGTTTCATGGGAGGGAAGGAACTGCTATCTCTGTCTTCCAAAATTTGTTTTTTCCAATGGACACCCTGGGGACACACACACACACATGAGAGTTTCAAGATTCCAAGGATGGTTAAACCTCCTCCATATCTCTTGTCTGTTGAGACATGGGTTGGATGTGATGCATGTATGTCTGCTGGTGCAGCCCCCAGACAACACCAGACAGAACCGCCCCCCCAAGTCCAAAAGGTGATACATTCCTGCTTTACATGTGCATGTTCTCAAAATGGGATTAATTTCTGGATACTGAGTATATCACATGACTTGCCTGTAGTACTTATATATATACCTAACTGTAGAGTGAGTGAGTGAGTGTGTATTATTATATATAAATCCCATTGCGAGACTACCTCCATATAAAGCAGGAATGCATAACCTTTTTGGGACATCTATGTATCTTATTTGTCATCTATATGAATGCCAGCAGAGGCGAGATAATGCTTGGAATTCAGGTGTGTAAAAAGCAAATATCACAAGATAAATCGAAGTTTGTTTCCCGGGGTGCCCTTTGGCGAGGAAAATTTCTAAGAGCAACGCAATGAGGAACACAAAACACTGGAGTGCCTTTATTTCTTAAGTGGAGGAGGGGATAAAGCTGGGTAGAATTTTTAAATTTCTATCGTTGTCATTATCTCATTTGTGATGGGGGCAAAATTAGAAGGATTCAAAGGGGGGAGAGGGAGTGTTTGTCTCTCTCTCTCTCTCTTACACATACACACACGCTGCCAGTTCCCCACTCATCTTCGCTCTCGATGCTGGATTTTTAAACTCGTCCTTTCCTAGGTCGCAGCTCGGGGCCGATTTACCCGCGAGTAAGCCTCCCCGAAGTCGGCGAGCTTGAGCGCGGGCAGCAGCCCAGTCCGGGATCGCACCGCGGGGCGCAAGACGGTCTTTGTCCGCCGAGGTGGTGACGGAATGACCGGGAACGCGACCGGCCACCGGAGCCGCGCCTGGCGGAGGAGAGGCTGGCGGCGGCGCTCTAGGTCGCAGCTCGGGGCCGATTTACCCGCGAGTAAGCCTCCCCGAAGTCGGCGAGCTTGAGCGCGGGCAGCAGCCCAGTCCGGGATCGCACCGCGGGGCGCAAGACGGTCTTTGTCCGCCGAGGTGGTGACGGAATGACCGGGAACGCGACCGGCCACCGGAGCCGCGCCTGGCGGAGGAGAGGCTGGCGGCGGCGCTCCGCTCA